TCAAAATAAATTATTAGCTGAAAGCCATATTGATGAACCAGATGAAGTAATTGATGCAAATAGCTTGTATTATAAATTAAAGGCAATATCATTGTTGATTGTAAATGAAAACTTGTCAACAAGTGATTTGCAAACCGAATTTCAACAAGTGCTTGGAGGTCTAGATATAGAAATAGGCTTGGCTGACATTATAAATGAAATCCATGGACAAACCAATTTAGTCAATAAACGTGTTTCTTCGGTAATATATTTGGTTAAAAGTACTAATTCAATCAGTAATACTGGAGGATTGATGAGAGTTAAAGAAAAAATGATAAGAATTGTTATTGAACAATTAAAACATTTGATGGGTGGTAAAGTTTCTAATTTTGTAAGTATAAATATTTTGTACATTGTTATTCTATATGTTTTGTTTTTATACATGCTAACAATTTATTTATTTTTCTAGGTAGAAAGTTTTACTTTTCTTACAGCTATTACATTATACAATTTTTATCATACATTTAAAAGCATTTATGATATTTGGGATCAATTTAAAAAATGTGACAAATTGAGTAAATATCTATCAGAAAAAAAAGGCTATTTAAAAACCCATTTATATGAGATAGATTATTATATTAAAAAAATGTTAAAATCACTAAATGATGATGATGCTAAATACGAAGGTAAAAGACATATATTTTATTATTAACAAATCAATTTATTATATTACAAATTAATTGATTGTCCATTTACTATTTACTATATAGATTATTTGGAAAATTTTAAAGATCTTAATGAAAAAGTAGAAGATTTCGTCATAGAAGTTAAAGTGACAGCTATTCATTGTAGAAAAATAATTGATGGATTATGCGAGAAAAAGAAAAATTATGAGGCCGTAATTGGTGTAGGATCATCGTAAGTGTATATATACAACTTTAACGGTCATGCGATTATACTGTATGTTAATTATTATTTAAAATTTAGAATTCTTGGTGGTGTTGGATTGGGATTATTTGGATTTCGTTTCCTTAGAGAATGTATTAATAAAAATCAGGTAATGTCCATATTAACACATATAATATTTATTAACAAATATTAAATATTAATAATTATCATAATTTTTTCAGATTATAACAAGTTTAGCAGTGATGAGGTTAAGTGAAGTAAGTTTAGCTGTGTTGGCCGCTTTAAGTAGCAGTCTAGGCAATAAAATTGAAAATTTCGATAAAACACTTGACCTATTTAAAGATTTGCATGAAAAATCAGAAAAGAAGAAAAATCGCCACAATCGCCACCACATTGAATTTGTTGAAAATAAACAAAACTTGATTGCTGAATATGAATTGCTTGTGTACGAATTGGAGCATTTGAATCGGAGCTTTGATAAGGAAAAAATTTACTCAATGTAGTAATCATTAGTTTTTATTATGATTGTATATTATCTATCAATTTGTTTAGATAAAAAATTGGCTACTTGCTATAGTTAGTTACCTTGTAAATATAAGTTTTTAAGATGTAATGTTTTACTTTATAAAAACTAGCTTTGAATCTCTTTTGCTTTCTTTAATTTCTCATGTCTTTCAGCGCCAGGAAGTTATATTTCTTGTTTACTTTTAATCATGTCACTCTTGAATTGTTTCTATGGTTCTTGTTAAAGGAATTTTTGATAAATACAAAGTATCCAAGAAAAATAATTAATGCAAAATAAACAAAAAGATATTATCAAAATATTGTCCGCAGAGGCAAAAGTCAAACTAAAATTAAAAATTATATGTCAAAACTAAATCAAAAGTCAAAAATCAAAATTAGTTTTAAGTTGTGGTGAAACCAGTGACTTTTGCACAGTTGCGAAACCACAGTTTTGGAAACCAACCCTAATTCTAACGCCTAGAACCAACAAAATAAACTTGTGAAGAATTTCTTTGCTAACGGTATTGAATGATAACGGCACGTGATTACGAGTCAAATGTCCACTATGCTTAATATTACTATTGCTACTTTTGTTATCAATTTTGTTGTACAACAAAACTGTTTTATCTAAAATCTTGTTTTTTTTAACATTTATACTATTAACAAACATGGTTAGCAAAAAATCATTAATTCTCCTTATAAATACCATCAACATTACTGTTCTTTCCTTACTATCCCTTAAACTGTATATAGCACAATTTTTATGAAAATGTGATACATAAATTCGATACCGGAAAATCACTTATTATTACAAACAATAAAATTTTTTAAATTTTTCGTAGTTATTTACATATTATTTAAGTTCATAACATTAGTTATTCAATACAACTTTTGTTAATTATTTTTATTGGTAAAAATTTATATTCTAATAATAAGTATTTTTTTAGAAAATTTCATGAAAAATAAAAAGAAAACTTCTCTCCTTGTGAAAATTGTTATAGAAAAAAATGACACTATTAAATCTTATACCATTTTTATTCCTCGGAACTTGAAGTTAAATTTATTAAAGCTAATGTAAAGATATAATTAGTAAAATCTTCACTTAACAATATACCTCGTATGTATTAAATTTTTCGGAATGTAAAAAATTTTTATTTTTGATAATGTGAGATCAAATTCCGTGTCTCACACAAATCTATTGATTTGGTAATAATATTATTTATCCCTTCCTATGGCAGTATCCAGTTGTGTAATTCTTTGATTACTTTCTTTCACTATAGCACTCAAGCTATTTAATTATTTACAGGGCAAGTTTTCTTACTTCCCTTCTGGTAACATTTTCTCAGCAGTTGCTATGTTTGCTGCCTGAGCTGGAACGTGTCAATTATTATCCCCTCTGATAATAATCCCAGTATCTTCCTTGATACCGATGTGTTGTGTTCTGATGGTTCAGTGTTTCTTAACTGACCACACCTAGCTAGGGTTTCCACTATTTTTAGGCGTTGGCCTAATCTAAAATAAAATAAAGAAAATAAGATTAAAAGAGATTACACACACTGTACTTATCAAAGGCATCCCCCTGGTAAGATAGTAATTAATTAATAATTAGGTTAGGATTAAAGGTTTATATGGTTTAGGAAGTGGGTGGATAATTCCACTGGCAATAGATTATTTTAAGAGATATTTATGTTTGTATTTTATTAATAAGATATTATTGTT